GAAATGTAGAATTCTATCATTCTTTTGAAAATTCAAATAAAACTTCGAACAAAAAAAAATATATATAATATTTTAAAGAGAATTTTAAATTTTTAATAGTTCACAGAATATTTAATATTTTAACATATGACATTTAAAGTTTTTAAATATTATAAATTTTTTATTTACACTTTAATTCTTATAGTTTATTTTTTATATCATCTTATATAATTCAGTTTCATAGTTGGTTTTACTTTTTATTTTATATAAAATTTTTATTTTTTTAAAAAATACCTACTTATCTAATACTTAAAATATTTAAAGTTATAAAAATGGAATTATCATAGCAAAAGTATAATATTGATTTTTTATTCTAAAAAATAAAAAACACATAAATTACGATCATAACCGGCTTGATAACGTGGCGGCTGGAGCTGATCCGAGTTGATGGCCTGAGTCGTGACTCAGGCGGATGCGGCTGTTAAGTTGGCGACAGCTAATACGTGATTGAGAAGTAACTGAAAAAACAGTCAATTGGCAGGGAGAATTATTTTGTGGATTGCATATGTCAAATTGTTTTTGAATTTGAGACAATCAGACCCCAACTCAAGGTCCCAGCAGTGTAAATTTTAACAATTCGGATTAAGTTATACTTAATTATAATTATAGTTAATTAACTCATCTTAATCTGCTTTATATTAATTACATATATATATATGTATATACACACACACACATAGATATGATCTTAGTTAATCATATTTGGTTCTCTCCCTTAATTTTTAATAAAGTTAATTATTTGAGTGTTGAATATAATTAAATTTATTACCTTCATTATTAATTAATTTTTTAAAAATGTTTTGTGAGTAAAATATGTAATTAATTTAAAAATAAAAACTATAAACAAATTTCATTTACCCGAGAAAACCCTTTTGGTTTTTTTTTTTTATTTAAAAAAAAAAAGCAGAAATCTTTATAGTAAAATCTAAAATAAAAATAGTTGTTTTAATTTTTTAACCAACCACACTTTTCCGATTCCGTCTGGGTTGCATCTCCTTAGTCGATTTTGTCCGGCTCATTAGTATGACTTTATTGGTATTTCTTGATCTAAAATGTGTAATATTTAAACATATGTTTGTTTTATATTTTATAAAAAAATAATTTAAAATAAAAATCAGTAAATATTTAAATTCTAAATTTGTAATTCTGAATTCTAGAAACTCAATATTTAAATTCTATATTAAGTGATTTATTTTGACTAATTATTTTTAAAAGTTAAAATAAATATGTTTATTATTTAACGTAATAATATAAATTTAAATATTTATATTTACGTAGTGCTTACATTTGTTGAGTTAATTAATTAAAAATAAAATTATAATTTAATTTAAACAGTGATTAATAAGGTAATTATACCTTTATTATGGTTTGCAATTTTTTCTTATTTTTTTGCAAAATTCAAGAGAGAGAAAAAAGAGTGCGTGTGTTCAAAAAGAGAAAAAAAAAAAAAATAATAATAATAATTAAATTAAAAGAAAAAAACATCAAAATTCAAGAAATTGGGGGGGGAGGGGGGGGTACATCATGCATGCGTGCGTACGTTATCGCTCTCTTAGCTCCATAAAACGACACGTATATACAGCTGAACAAAGGGCGGCACCAAATCTCATTGACTTACAACCCCTTTTATCTCTGTTTGGCCTTTCTTTCTCCTCCTATTTATATCTTAACCAAACCCTCTTCTTTCTTGTTCCACTTCATCTCTCTCCATCGATCGTCAAAAACAAGCAGCTGGCTTTGGTGTTTAACTTGATCGGATAAAAATGGGGAAGCCTCAGTCCGGGGACAAAAGCGGTAATAACGGAGTATTGAAGAAAGGTCCATGGACTGCTGAAGAAGACCAGAAGCTCGTAGATTATATTCAGAAGAATGGCCATGGAAAATGGCGACTCCTCCCCAAGAATGCAGGTAATTTTATATTCATTCAAACTCACTTCATATATAAATGTGAGTATACATTATATTAAAAGATGGGTTTTGTTTATCTTGGAAAAATATGTAATGGGTTCTCTCGATTGATTTATTTATAGGACTAAAGAGGTGTGGAAAGAGCTGCCGACTCCGGTGGACAAATTACCTGAGACCTGATATCAAGAGAGGGAAGTTCTCACTTGAAGAAGAAGAGACCATAACTCATTTACACAGTGTCCTGGGAAACAAGTATCTAAATTAAACTTCTTGACTTTGTTTTATATGCATTAAAAATTTATTTTTAGAGTGTATTAAAAAACCAAACTTTCTAATTGAAGTAATTCTTCATATGTGAATCCAATTGTTTATGGATTTAACGTACCTACTTGGAAGACTTTGGCTAAAATCACTTTTGGAAATTGTATTATCTTTATATTATAAATTAATATGACTAACGTGAGTCAATGATATAACACTAACAGGGACAAATTTGGAATTCGAGTCATCATAATTTGGAATTTGTATTATCATTGATATCGTCTCTTGTTTTCATCTTCCTGATGATGATGATGATGATGAGCTTTGTTTTCTCAGATGGTCTGCAATTGCTGCTCGTTTACCAGGAAGAACTGATAATGAAATCAAGAACTACTGGAACACGCACATCAAGAAGAAGCTACTCAGAATGGGAATCGACCCAGTCACTCACGCTCCTCGTCTTGATCTTCTCGACCTCTCTTCCATTCTTACCTCGTCTCTGCTTAACTCAACTCAGTTTCATCCGAGTCTTCTCGGCATCGCTTCTCTTGATCCTGCCATCCTAAGCTTAGCCACAACTTTCTTATCAACTCAGCGGCTACAAGGTCTTCAAGATCAAAACCACCTCTGCAACAACACTACCACCACCCACATCCAAAACCACTACGGGTTTTTCTTCCATGAAAACCAGCTTCAAACCCAGAATAGTATTCAACCATGCACGGCATCAAGTGACCATGACTCCAGTACAACTCAGCTATTTCTGGACGAAAATCAAATCATTAATAATCATCATCAGCCCAGTCTGAACCAGTTTTCCACAAGACAAGTCACTGATTTAACTTGCCAAAACTCGTTATCATGGCAAGGCAACAATGGAGAAATACCCTCTAATTATATTCATGATCCTGTAACAAGCTATGGAGGCAACAGCTACCATGAAAATTATAACTCTAAGCTGCCCGGTAGCTGCGGAAACTTGAGCTTTGCTTCTCTCCTGTCATCAACACCTTCTTCTAGCTCAACTCCTCTGCATTCATCTTGCACTGCGGCGTATGTTAATGGCGGCAGTGAGGACGATAAGGATAGCTACTGCAGCAACTTGTTGATGTTCGATATTCCAAGTACTGGCTTAAATGTCGACGGCTGTCTGTAACAAGTTAACTTATCATTGAGTCAAAAAGTCAATCGCAGTTTTTAACTTTTGGGATCAAATGATGTGGTTGAAAATGGAGTTTGTCTTATCTAATTATTACATATTTATTCCATTATCTTATTAAATATTCTTTAATTAATTAATTATCAAGTTAAATTACATTTTTAATTCTTAATATTTAACGAATTATATAAAATTTCACTTTTACTTTTCAAATACATAATAAGTTTTTTTCTATCAAAATTTTATAAATTAAACTGTACACTAATACATAAAATATGCTATTTTAAAATTTTAAAAATTAAATCATTTTTGTACAAGAAGATAAAAAAAAATTTTAATTTATTATTATTATTAATTACTTTTCAAAGTTTTCATATAATATTATATTCATTTGAAAAAGGAAGTAAAAAACAAAAGGGTTGTAGTAACGTCTACGTTTTTTGTATGTATATACGTTTGAATTCTAACCCTGTTGCATGGAGCCCGACAATAGTCTCCCCCGCGGGTCCTTTTTTCGCCCTGTAACCATCCAACACGTGTTATCACAGTTCCACATGCTATTTCCCACGTTTTTTAAATCTTGTTAATTATTGGACGGTGAAATTGGATTGTAGTGAGGGTCGGGCCATTGTCAATTTTGACCCGAAAGCAGAAGTGACATCAGCAAGGTTAGAGGTTTCTTAAGCCTGGCCCATCTTCTAGAATGTATCGTATAAAAGCTTTCTAACATGTATTAGGTAGCGTATTTTTTATTATGATAATTTTTTCGTTATTATTATTATTATTATCTCTTGAGAAATAACAAATGTTCTCTACCAGATGAATCTTAAAAATTTTTTAAAAAAATTTACTCGGGAATTAATTTTTTTATATATTTTTTAAAGAATTTTATGACATTTTAGTATTAAAATAATTTTTTTTTTACAGAAAATAATCTTAATTTAAAATGTAATAAATTGATAAGTAGAGGGTAATAAATTTATTATATTTTTAACGAGGCAAATTTCGGGTTGTGCATGCCCGACCCATATCATTCCGGGGCCATAGCTAGGGCCCAGAATAGTGGCAAAGAAGGGCCTATCAATAAAAGGAATAAGCCCAAGCATTCAATACCAAAAGTTGAATCAAACCGAAGTCTGATTTCCGCTTTCTGGCTCGCTCTTTCGCTTTCTCTATCTAGCGGCGGGAATTAGATACGCATGACCCCACAGCCACCGCCATGCGCCTCACAACCGCCTCCCTTCACCGAGGCTGAGGTCCGATAGAATGAGCCACATCATATTCCGGCGATGATGTTACAAGCACCGGCGGCATTTTGACTTTCTAAGAAATGCCACCACTCGCCACTTTGGTGCTCGCCGATCGTAATAGGAATCAGTCTCCATGTCGAGGTTGCTTTTACAACTTTCTTTCAGTTGCTCGAATTATCTTTATCTTTAACTAAGGGCTCATGTTTTGCAGTTCTCTGTTTGTGTAATTTTTAGGCTCTGTTCAGTCTCTACTTTCCATTTTATGCTAGTAATCTTCATTTTCAAATTTCTTTCTCGGTTAGAAACGTAGAATTCTTGTTTGTTAAATGTTGTTACTCTGTAGTCTGTATCTAGAACCATATGTTATGATGATGAAAGATAAGGAAGACAGATGAGCTTCGTTTTCACCTCACTGGCAAGAAATTATCGGAATCACTAGTATTCGCTGAAGTGTAGTTATGCATATTATTAGTGGAACTTGCAGTTTTAACCGTGTAGTTTGTTCTTATTGCGGTTGGATCATGTATGTCAATTTGTGATTGTTCGTTTACCTTTGAATTTTTGTCATTATACTAAAAGTAAATGTTTGAAGACTATATTGCAATTGTGATTCTTCTTCCTAATTCATATTTTCTTATCATTGAATTTTCCTCCTTGTTTAGAAGTCCCAGAGAAGTGCAGAGATAATCTATAATAACTTATGATTTTATGTAACATTAGGAAAAAAAGATCAAACCACTTGCCGAGCTGTTACCAAATAATATACAAGATTCAACTGTACTTTTCCTCTATAATGTCATCTCACTAATTAGATTTCGTTCGTGGTGCTGACTTTTTAACCCAATGAGATCTCGGAAAGGAAAATGTTATTGACTAAATAATGTCCGGATGATTCAATATCATTCTATTTCTACCTGATTGTAGAGTTAATTTTTCGGTTAGTTATGTAGGCTAATATTATCGCTTCCTGTTGAAACACCATTACTCATATTTGAATTCCATGAGTGGGATTTTAGTTCTTACAACTATTACTTCTATTAATAAAGGTCATAAATCTCTCACCAAAGAAGGTTTGAGTATAGGTGAGTGACTCATGTTGTAATCCGTACACCTAATTTTACTTATGAAATCTTTTGAGAAGTTACTATGAAATTATTAAATGTATGAATTAGCTAAAAATGGAATAGGGATTAAACCCAACACATCTACTAGTCTTTCTGCTCAAATATTATTTTTCTTCTGTGCCTGTAATCTAGCTTCAGATATTGAAATACAAGGAATTCCACAAAACAAGAAAAGTGTACTAGTACTTACCCATTCTTTTTTGTTGTTAGCATGTCCTTTTTCTCATGGATTATTGGAGTAGGACAGTGTTTTGAAGTGGGAATTCTATTTTGATTGATGCAGGTCTTTAGCTTTTGGAAGTGTTAGGAAGGTTGCCAATTCTTGTTACTCTAAACAGAAGCATAGCTTCCCAGGAGTAAGCAATAATGGGGAATGTTATCCAATTGGACTTCCTTGCATCTTATATAGGTTATATTCAAAGTACAAAAATCCTTTAAGAGGGCATAGTTCTTTTACATTGTACAAAGTCAAAGAAAACATATTTGCAAGTAGTGGCTCAAGGAACTTCTATGCCCTCTCAGGTAGCCATGTCATATCACATAATGCCCAAGCAACTTGGAAGCAGCTTTCTTGGATATGTAGTCACAACGGGCCAGTATTATCCCCAATTAGTAAGATTGCTCGTGCTGTGAGTTTTGCTCTAACACGGTCTAATCTAGCAGCTCCTGGTGTTATTGCCTTTTTAGTTGGAGAGCTTGCTTGCAAGCAGCGGAGATGGACAGAAGCCGAATATTTTCCAACCAAAGATGCTCTGTATATGCAAGCACAAGATGGAAAAATTTATCTGACATCATTTGTGGCTTTACTTCTGGAGTGTGTGATTTTGTTACTCAGAGCTATACATTTAGCAATCTTATTCTTGCCATCCATCGCCATGGCACCACTTGCTGATTCTCTCGGTGCTGAGTTTAGGAAAGCATGGGTTCATGTTGTTCATCTAACATTGGAAAAAGCAGGTCCGGCATTTATCAAATGGGGGCAGTGGGCTGCAACAAGACCCGATCTCTTCCCAAGAGATTTATGTGCTGAACTAACAAAACTTCATGCTAAAGCACCAGCACATAGCTTTTACTATACAAGGAAAACTGTTGAAAATGCATTTGGACGCAAGCTACCAGAAATTTTCACAAAATTTGAAGAAGAACCTGTGGCATCTGGAAGCATCGCTCAAGTTCATCGGGCAATACTGAAATATAGGTACCCTGGTCGGCAAATGAAGCAGCCCATTGTTGTTGCTGTCAAGGTTCGACATCCTGGAGTTGGTGAAGCCATTAGAAGGGACTTCACCATAATCAATTTTGTGAGCAAAATTGCAAACTTCATACCTCCATTAAAGTGGTTGAGATTGGATGAAAGTGTACAGCAATTTGCTGTCTTCATGATGTCTCAAGTCGATCTTGCAAGAGAGGCTGCTCAATTGAGTCGTTTTATATATAATTTTCGTAGATGGAAGGATGTGTCATTTCCAAGGCCTCTTTATCCTCTGGTGCACCCAGCTGTCTTAGTGGAAACTTATGAACATGGTGAAAGTGTCATGCATTATGTTGATGAGCTTGAAGGGCATGAACGACTTAAAAGTGCCCTTGCTCACATTGGAACGCATGCTCTTTTAAAGATGCTCTTGGTAGGATATCAAATTGTTTGATGTTGGGGTTTCTCCTTTTTTTTTTTTTTTTAATTATGCTCAATATTTCTTTTGGTGATACTGACGATTAATTAACCCTGGTCTAGTCTACTTTTTAGGATTCAGGTCCTAGAATCTTCAATACACTGGGCATTGTTAATTGTATGAGCAATAAATAAAATAGACTGCCGCAATAAGATTCACATCCTTGTGAATTCTAAAAGATGAGGCTTGATAACTCCACCTCCCACGCTTTTTGACATCTAAATTAGATGAAAGGTTTAAAATCTACTTCCCCATGTTTTTCCTAGTGGTTCCTCTGAAAATCTCTCCATTCTATCAACTGATGTCTATTGCCTCCAGGGGTTTTTGACTAGATTAGAGTTCATTCTTATTAATATTTTTGACATGGTTCTTTTTTTTTAATTCTCAGGCTGTTGAAGTTGCTAATTGATATTTTACTTTGTGCAGAACGTGCTCACGTGCTTCTCTACATGAAGAATTAATTAACTTCTGAAATCTTTTGTTTATGGGTTTCTTCAGGTAGACAATTTTATTCACGCAGATATGCATCCTGGAAACATTCTAGTCCGAGTACCTGAAAGGAAACCATCAAATAATCAGCTCTTTAGTTCAAGACCCCATGTCATATTTCTTGATGTGGGCATGACTGCTGAACTTTCTAAAAGAGATCGAACCAACATACTGGACTTCTTTAAGGCTGTTGCTCTTAGAGATGGTCGGACTGCCTCTGAATGCATGCTGAGATTGTCCAAACAGCAAAACTGCCCAAACCCAAAGGCTTTCATTGAGGTAAAACTCTCTGCCTACCTTTTACAAATGAAGAAACTAACTCTCCCTCCCCCCAACCGCACCAACCCAATTACAGATCTTTCCATTATATTTCCATTATACTTCTCTCTCCCTTTGTTTTTTTTTTTTTAATTTCTTGAGTCAGTTCCTGCGAAGTTTACCATCATTTAGCATTTCGAACATGCAATTTCTTCCCTCACTTTTTTTTTTTTTTTACGAAAATTCCTTATTTACTGTTTCCTTCTCTTAAAAGTTACATTTGATAGTGTCTCTGGAACTCAGATGTATCGCAACACATAACTTTGTTGAAACAGGATGTAGAAAAAGCTTTCACTTCCTGGGACTCACCAGATGGTGACTCAATCCAGCCGGCTGAATGCATGCAGCAATTACTTGAGCAAGTTAGACGTCATAAAGTCAACATTGATGGCAATGTTTGTACTGTGATTGTAACTACTTTGGTTCTTGAGGTATTGTCCAACTTCTTCTACGTTGTCTCTCTGTATTTTTATCATATTCATAAATATTTGCTTATAATTCTTGCCTATAAAGATGAAATATCCACTGTGTCAATGAAGGATAATCATTGAATGATAAAATATCTTGTAGCTTTCTCTAACTTGGTGCACAGAAAAAATTCGGTTTAATTATTCATCTGATTGCAGTCACATTCACCCAATGTATGTTTGAGATCTGCACTTAACAGAATGTGGATAAACAATACTTATCAACAATGTGCAATCTTTCTTTGAGAACAAAAGACATGGTATTTAACAAGGGACTAAGGGGATGCCACCCAATTACAAAGAACTAGTTACATGTTAGTCAAAATATCAACATGGATTCCAAAATCTAACATTCTAATCCTGCCAAAAAGAACACTGTCCATCAAAAGTTCTCCTATTTTCTCCTTCCAAATAACCGATAGAATTGATAGATGAATTAATTGAATCTTATTCTTCCAATCTTTTTAACATTAATTCCCTGCCAAGCTCACACTTCTTAGCCAAAGATCACTAATCAACCACTAGTTATACCCCCGTAATCCAATTAACCAATATTTTATCTGCTATGTTCATTTATCTATCTCATTGATGGTGATATGCATTCATGGATTTCTGCCGCTTCGTTAATCTGTTCCTTTTATTCATTATTTGGATGTCTATAGAAGCTCTCCAGTGAAGAGGGTCTAAAGAAGGTAAATAGGGAAGAAATGGGACACTATGTATTTAAAAGTTTATTATAAACATATTTTCACGTGCCAAACTCTTTATTCTCTTATTTTGAAGCAGGAGAAGTATTGCTAATACAAACGTGAAATCTCACATGGATATTCCTCCTTGAACATTGGCTATTGCAATGAATTTCATGTAATATATACGGAACGGTAGGAAGTCATATGTTTTAAATTTTTATTTGACTGTTTTCCTCAGGGGTGGCAGCATAAGCTTGATCCAGAATATGATGTGATGCATACCCTGCGAACATTGCTGTTTAAAGTTGATTGGCTGGAGTCGCTCTCTTACACCATGGAAGGACTCATGGCCCCTTAAAAGTCTCCTATCTGGATCTTATTTCTCAAAAATTTTGAATAACAATACTGAGAGAGCAACAAAAGAAATAAATAAGGTTGTGTTTTGATCTTTCTATCTGGATGTTCTGGTTTTGTGGAGCCAGTTTCATTTTTTGCAGGTGCGATTAGAGAGTTTTGGAATAAAATTTTTAGAACTATACTTCACTGATAAGAGAAAACTAACCACGAGTGTATAATTCGAATTACTGCTACAAGTTTACTTCCAAAGATCGGAAACATACTGCAATGTTTGCTGTTTATTTCCTTACGTTGTTTGGATGAGTATGTAACCTTTTAATTGCATAAAAGCCGAAGATGATAAGAAAACATGAAAAAAAAAAAAAAGAAAACAGCCTTACAGTTAGATAGTGGGAACATAAATATTTCATTTTGCATCCCAGTTGGGTGAACCAGGTACGACATTCTTCTTATTATGCTTTAAGGTCGTCCGGTAGATTCATGCTTTTTGAGAGTATCTTTTCTACCCTTTGTTAAAAGGAAATGGCTAGAAGTCAGTTGTTCAACGTGGCTAATCGTTGAGTCAAATATTTGTATTTGGTTTAAATTTATTTTATTTTTATTCATTGGTTGAATTTAATTTATTTAGTTCAGTCTGGTTTATTTTCATTCAATTATCAATTTTAATGAATTGGTATTAAAAAATTTTGACCTAAAATTGAAGATAAAATTGTTAAAATTATAATACTGTTTTCATTTGAACTCTTAATTATTTTAGCTTTTAAATTTGATTTTTATCACTGCTAAAATGTATTTCCTACCGCTAAGAGAAGCATTCCCAATGCAATTTCAAACCCGAGTCTCATTTCGCAAGAATGAAACATTTACAAAGGGGCTAGAGGACGATGACTTGATTGAAGGGGCCTAAGAATGGGAGGGACACTAGCCGCTCCTGAATTTTGTTGGTTGTGAAATTGTAGTGACCAAAAGATACTGAACTTGCCAGACCTTGTCTAGGTGGCATACTGGCACGTCCCCACTAACATGAATTTTGCACTCCCGATGGAAGACTGGCAAACAAATGATACATGCATAGAGTAAGAGGGGTTTCGAGCTGCAAATAGAATTTCATTACTAGAGTACTCCAGTGCGACAATAACCCCAACTTTGACGGAAAAAAAATTATTATAACCCAGATAATCCTGAGCAATTGTTTTGTTTACATTTTGAACTAAAATGACTTGAGGTAAAAATTCATGAAACTACAAGTTTTGTATCAGCCAAACACAGTTGCCTAGCATATACAACACATTTTAGACTAAATCCAATAAATTCTGACTGTGCCTGACACTACCAGATAATGCAACAATAACCCCAGCTCTGACCAAGAAGAAAATATTATGACCCAGATAATCCCAAGCAATTGTTTTGTTTACCTTTTGATCTAAAATGACTTGAGGTAAAAATTCTTGGAACTACAAGTTTTGTATACTGCAAAGCATTCCCCTAAAAATCAGTATATAACGATAAAATGCTGTCACGACAACTGAGAGCATGTAGAAGAGCAGATTATGGCACAAAAGAAAAAAACACCAAAGACGAATTCCTCTGCTGACCTTTCTTTTCAAATTTTTTTTTTCAGAAAAAAAGGAAAGTTATTTGAAAAATACACGGCGAAGGAACCTCCAATTCTTGCTTTCCAGAGAACAACAGTTCTTACAATATTTTGAGAAATTTCTACATGCCGCTGGACATGGTCAGCAGTTCAAAGCCACTCAACAAAAGCGCCCCAGGAATATACTGCTGACTACCAGGATTCTAACAAAAATTTGAAAATATTTCCTACCTTTTCCCAATTCTCAGCTCTTAAGCCTCTCAAAGAAATAAAGGTACCCCATGTCCTTGGGGGGGTTGATAGAAGCTCCAACCTTGTTGTCGTTGAAAATTACCCATCTCCCATCTTTAAGGATGTGAGCCACATAGTGACCACATTGAGTAGATGTTCCCATGTGGCTCACTATGCCGAAAAGCCTGTATCCTGCATGAAAGTTGATTTTACATTTATAAGAAAAAAGGCCTATAAATAAAACAGATATCATCATTGTTTTCATTGGACACAATCTAATTCCATATAATCAGTTATCTGGGATTGAAATTCTAAAACTAATCTCATACCATCTGTCTGAAGAATTTTTGTCAACTTAAACTTTCAATAGCATAGAAATATTATGAGAAAATCCATGAGAAGAAATATGCAGAAATATTAGAAGAAAATGTAGGAGGAAAAAATAGGGTCTAGATTTTATACTATAATCCTAAATAGTGAAAAGAATATACTATCTATCCTATTTTTGGAGAATACTAATTTAGTATCCAACGAGTCCCTTCTTGGGAAATGGATTTTGGAGATTCTGGAATGAAGGTAGCAGTTTTTGGAAATCAATCATCTTATGGAAATGGTTCAATGGGGACTATCACAATCACTCCAAAATCAAAAACAGCACCTACGTTACTAGCCTATGAAAGAATATTTGGAATCTTAACAACTTCGTTCTTCACATTCTAAATGGATCATTGGGAATGGCAACAAAATCAAATTTTGATCAGACATTTGGCACGGCACAGTTACTTTCCAAACAAGATTCCCCCTTATTCATGATATCACCAGAGAGAAAAACATTTTGGTTAAGGATGCTGTAGTTCATGACAGCCTAGGTCTTTGACAAGTGTCAGTATCCAGAAATTTACAAGACTGGGAATTAGAAGAATATCTAACTTTGTTACAGACTCTGTCTGCTATTCAGGTTTATGACGGGGAGGACAAACTAAAATGGCTACCCTCCAAACACGGCACGTCCTCTGCCAGATCACTCTACAACTCCATGGTGGGTAATCTCACTCAGAATAACATAATTTTCCCTCACAAGCTAATCTGGAAATCTGGTGCAACCCCAAAAATTTCATTTTTTGCCTGAGAAGCAGCAAAAGGTCGCATTCTAACCATTGACAACCTAATGAAAAGAGGTATCACGATTGTTAACAGATGTTTCTTGTGCAAAAACAACTTCGAGACCTGCAATCACTTGCTCCTTGGCTGTGAAATCTCACAACACCTTTGGAACTCTATTCTTGGCCTATTGGGACTGCCTTGGGTCAGAAACAACATAATTTCAGCTGAACTTCTTGAATGGGAAGGCTTCTGCTGCAACAGGAAAAACTTAAGACTTATCCCTCACACCATAATGGGGTTCTTTGGAAAGATAGAAACAATCGCGCTTTTGAATGAATAGAAGTAGATGTTAACAAAAACATAGACAGTTGGTTTCATTATTTTGGTTCCACTATATTGGGACATAACATCGAATGTTTAAATGACCTTGATTTTGTCGTTGATAGTTTAATCGACTTGTAAATACATTGTAAATGGGTTGTACCCCCTTGGCATCCTTATTTCAATACATATCACACTTTTATTTTTAAAAAATTGATTTGGTATCCAACTGTATAAATAATGTAGTAGAATAGAAGAAAACCATGAAATAGAATTTACAGCTTTCTTCAAGGTTAATATGGTTCTCTGTTCCATCTAACCTAGAATACCCAAAATGCCTAAGTACGGCATGGCAGACCATCTTCAAACTTCAAAGCCAAAAGTCGTACATTCATAGAAACTATTCTAATGGGGAACAATGGGATGGATAATCCGATGATATTCATCACCATACACAAGTTAAATTGCCAAAACTACCTACTTTGGTTGCAATCTGTCATGATATTCGTGCGCGGAAAAGGGAAAGATGACCATCATACAGGAACCACTAATCTACCAGCCATAAATGACCCAAAGTACTAAACTTAGAAAGACAAAGACTGTATGATAATGTCTTGGCTTGTCAATTTAATGACAAATGAAATATGGTAGAATTTCCTCCTATTCAAGACGACCAAGGAAATCTGGGACACAACTCGTGAAATGTATTCCAAGACAGATAACTCCTTAAGAACTCTTCATGATAGAAAGCATACTTCATGACTTGCGACAAGGTGCCTTGACAGTGACCCAATATTTCAATGCCTTGACAAGAAACTAGCAACAAATTGATGTGTATGAAGAGTAAAGGTGACATTGCCCAAAAGAAAATCTTTAGTATCACAAAATCATCGAAAAGAAAAGGCTGTACAAATTTCTTCTTGGCCTTAACAAGAACTAGATAACGTCCAAGAAAGAATCTTGGGAGTAAAACTAAGTCTCATTCTCCACAAAGTATTTGTAGAAGTGTGTATGGAAAAAAGCACAAAAAATCATGCTCGGGAATCCAACAGACTCAGATTCTCGAAAGTTCAACACTTTTTGCTCAAAACACTCGATCATTTCAATGAAAGACGAAACAAAAAAAAAAGGAAAAGTTATAGTGCGATCATTGTAGAAAGTTGGGTCACTCAAAGAAGATTTGCTAGAAGCTTCACAGAAAATCACCGGATTGGAAACAAAATTGAAATCAAGGAGGAAAAGAAACAAAAGAAAATATGGAAAGAGAGTTGCATGGAAACCTAGTATTGGATTCCACATGAGCTGAGAGGAAACATAGTCATGGAAGCTGAAGTATCGGGTGATCAATGGAAAGATAAATTGATTTTTAATAAAGAGCTGATGGAGTACTCGATAAATTTACTAACCATCCAGTACTAGGCACTAGATCTGCTTCCCACTCAGGTAAATTTACTAATACCTCATCTAATCTCCAAATTCAACTAATGCATAGATTATAGACTCTGGAGCTTCAAATCACATGATCCGTAATTTGAAATTGCTCAGAACATATAACCCATATCATAAACAAATCTATATCAAAATTGCAAATGAGTTTCTACCAAAGGTGGTTGGAATAGGCACTGTATGTTTATTGAAAAACATAAATTTAAACAATGTACTCGATGTTCCTGAATTAAGTTGCAATTTATTTATTTTTAGTTAATAAACTGACTCAAGAACTGAGAATTATTGCAAAATTTTATTTAAATGTTAAATTTCAATAACTACATTCGGGAAGGCAATTGATAATGCTAAAGTACACTCAGGACTCTATATTCTCTCCAGTAATCACACTAGTGCCTATCCTCTGATTTTTCCTGTTTTAATTCTTATAGTAATACTGCAATCATGTTGTGACACTATAAATTAGGACATCCAAAGTTTAGTTACTTGCAATGGCTTGTTCCTTCATTATTCAATAAAAATTTTAAGAACTTTAGTTTGACATATGTCAATTTGCAAAACATATCGGAGCACTTGCCAGATTCAGCCTTATAAAGAGTCCGGTCTATTCTTCTTGATCCATAGTGATGTATGGAAACCATCAAGAATAAAAAAATATTATCAGGGTAGGTGGTTGTTCTATTTGTAGATTAACATACCAGAGTTACCTGGGTTTACCTAATGAGAAAAAAGTCAAAAGTTGGGGAAATATTTTAAAAATTCAAACTCGTCATTCGAAGCTATTTAGAAGAACAGAGCATTATATATCAGGATTTATGCATTGATACACCTCAACGAAAATGAGATAGCTAAAAGGAAGAATCGTCGTATTCTTGGGGTAGTTAGATCACTTATTTTTTCATCCAATGTGCCAAATCACTCCA